ACTTCTACTGTCTCTCAATCTTGACCTAGGGCTTTAAATTGATGTTCTTCGAGTGGATCTAGTGTATTTGTTTGTTTTAGGGTTTAACATTTGCTGATAATGAATTCGATGTTGATTGGGGTTTGGCCTTTTGCCTTGTTAGTTTTGTGCACGAAATCTACGGATCTTTACTTGTTTTTGGTTGTGATTTCTGAATCGGTTATTTTCTATATCTGGTTACCGTTTTGAGGGTTTATGGTTATGCTCTGTTTGTATTTGTCATTATATCTGCTTTTTGCTGCCTCTTGTTTGTGTTTCTTTTTTTATATATGATGTCTGGGCTGTTTGTTTGGATGGAAAATAATTGCTGAAACATTTTCTTGGATGTTTTTGGGACTCTTATGTATTTGTTATTTGATGGGTAGTTTGGAATTTGAAGTTTGGGGGTCTTTTACTGTTCCTTTTTGCTTTGTTTTGGGCAGCTGAAATTTGTCTTTTTAGAAGGAAAACTGTTGTCTTTTCTGGAAACAACTACTTGGAATTTTGAATTGCCATTTTTCTTCAACTGTTTTATTGAAGTGGGTATGATGGTTTTGAAAAGCATACCTTTATTATTTCCAATAGAATCCAAATCGTGAGATGAAACATAGCCGTGCTGTTGAAAAAACGTAGCTTATTATTGTGATTGGTACTAATGAGCAGTTTTGTTGAACAATTCACGTACCCTGAGAAGGAAAGGTTGCACTGTTCATATTTCCTGGAAATTGGCATCCCTAAACTAGAGGCTGGAACTACACACATGCCTACAGACAACAGTGATCCTAGCACTCTCATTTCTATGTACCTTATATCATAACCATGCACCGCATTAAACTCCCTCAAATACTCTCTGAAACTTGCGGGCTGGGAAATTTCATTCCAACTACAAGTTTGGGATCCTTTATCATCCCTTCTTTGTATTCTGGGTATCCAGCGTCATCTCTCTCATCTGATGATCCTTTCAGACTAATCAATTCATCATCATCATCATCAACATCTGAATACCAAGCAACATCATTTGGTAGATTGACTTTAGGTGGTGGTCCTTCAGTTATTCTGTGTGAGGTTTCATAAAAAATGTCATCATTTGGACCCTCCAGGTCTTCATACAACCAACTTTGGTTATTACTTTCCTCTACACTATCCTCAGAAGTTTCAGTATCATTATATTCTTCACTAACTATCAAGGTTCTGAAAAGCGGTTGCGGTGGCACGGTTGCGGTTGCGGGGTGTAAAGGCCGTAGCGTAACGGTTGCGGTAATAAAAAACGTGAATTTTTTTTATTTTTTGCACAATTTGAAAAAAATTTACCGATACGCATGTTTTTTTTCCATGATTATATTTATTGGATTAAAAATAAATATTGATCAATTTTTGTAAATTTTTAAATATGATCCAATATATTTCATATTTTTAAATCACTATAAACTAAGTTTTTTACATTTTATTTTGATAATTAATGACTTTACATTATACAAAAAGCAATCACTAACTATTACATATAAGATAAACAATGACAAAAGTAAGAGAATAAATAAGAGTCTAAATATATATGCATATTTTAACCAACCCAAATAGATAATGACCACACTTATTATTATTATTATTATTATCAAACAATATATATATATATAGAGACACACAAATAAAATGGTTGAGTGATAGTAGCTGAATAGAATAACATAGGTCTTACAGCTTCAACAAGTCAATAACATGTTCTTCATCTTTTCTCTTCTCTCTCTCTCTATCTGTTGTTCTTCCATTTTCTCTCTTTATCTTCCCTCCTCTCTATCCCTCTTCCCCCATTTTCAGTTTTTTTTTTTTGTATTTTTTTCGAAAGAAACAGTTTGGAACCATTACGACCATTACGGTAGCTGCTACGGCCGACACACCTGTGAATTTCAATCACACTGTAAAAGTAGCCGTAACGGGTGGCGGTAACCGCCAAAACCGTTACCTAACGGCGTTACGTAACGGTTGCGACCGCTTTTTAAAACCTTGCTAACTATATAGTCCAAGTCCTTGGAATCATCACTCTCAATTCTCTCTTCATCAGCCAAAAATTCAGTCTCACTCTGTGCACTGTCACTCTTATCAGCCTCATTACCTTCTACAGACTCAGTGTCAATAGTATGTTGCAACCCCTTCTCATGTTGTGTATCATTACCCTCATGCTCCGTTCCTATTTGATTCTCCCTAGCTTGATTTTGACTTGATTTCTTACTACCCTCCCTTCTTGTTTGACTATCATCTGAGTCATTCCCAATGTCATCAACTATGATGTCAATATCAGACAAGTTTATATCAATAATGTCTGTGTCACCACCACATATGGCATTATCACCCTGTTCTGTGTCACCACCACCTATGGCATTACCACCCTGTTCTGCACCATTGGGATCTGACAACCACTCACCATTGGATGACAAAACCATAATAGGATCTACACCATTCTCTACATACTACTACATAATCCAAACCTTTATAAGACTTAAGCATTTTCATCACATCATCATCACTGTAAATTGTTTTCAACCCAACATCTAAACTATAATCAGGCCATGTATAGTACATATCTATGTTTGCTCATTTTCCATCAACCAGGTCATAATAAAGGTTTCTTAACTCAAACATGGACATTTTGTCAATGTCACAGTTAATTATTTCATTCACCCTACCACCCTTATAAACATGTGGATGAAAGACAAAATGGCCCCATGGTGCATTTGAACAGTTATGAATTTGTTTGACATTTTCAGCATTCACTCCTAAAGTAGAAAAGAATTTCATCAATACATTTTGGAACCACAACCTACAACCCTAAACCCTAAACAAAGATATAGTCATGCATGTAACCAACATAAACTAAAATAATAAATAATCCCTAATCCTCAAACAGATCACACAAAACAGGAAAAGAATGAATATAAAAGCATAAAGTCATTCAATACAAACGCCTACAGTATACACTGAGGATTAAATGCCTACAGTCATACAATACAAAGTATAAAGTAATAGAATTAAAAAACCTATTCTTCAGGCATAAAGCTAATAGTTAATTGAAGAAGGAAACAAACAAAGTAATACACTGAGGATTAGGGATAAA